ACTGACGCAGATAGCTCAATACCCCTCTAAGTTTGTTAATATATCCAATCGCAACCAACAGGCCAACGAGTCCGTGGCCCAACAGTTCGGGCGTTGTACTTCTAACCAACAGATTGCGAGTACGAGCGGTTGAGTATGATTGGCTGATTATGAATAATAAGCCAGAAATGAACATTTATTCCCTCTTTCTTATCGTAGGTACCGTGATTCTGAGCGCACACTTGCCTTTCTTCACCAGCCTTGTCCTTCCTGAAGTCCTGAATGGTCCAAGCGAAGACGCCATCTTCGCAGCCAGCCAACAGCGTGTCGTAATTTGGCATGAAGGCCAGGTTGAGAACGGGGTTGAGGTTGGCTCGTGGGCAAACTAGGCGCATAAGCAGTTGATGCTTGGTACTGTACTCTGGAGCCGAAGGGATGCCAATGTCCCACACGAGGATGGAAGCCTGAAAAATGCAAATATTCGTAAAGGGAGTGTACGTTTCTGACAGGGCAGCAAGCAAAGACAAAAACGGAAGTGAGGCAGATCCACACACTTCCCCCTCTAAGATCTTTCATTATTAAAGGTAAAAAGCAGCAAGCGGCCTGAAGTTATGTCGCTTCTGCGAATGACGCCAACGTTAAACTGACCGCAGTTACTTGATTCCAGGATAAAAGTGCGTTTTTTGGGGTGCGGATAGCTTTTCTGCAAAATGGATTCTGTTCCCGCAAAAAACGTCTTGTCAACGATAAAAGCTGTTTATGACTCAAACGTCATTTAAATGGTTCGGATTAAATGTTGAAACGTTCTTCTTCAAGGTGTAGACACGCAAAAGCTACAAAGTAGGACAACGTGAAGATTGGTTCAGGAAGGAAAAGAAGTTGAAGCGAATTGCAGATGTACGTATAAGTAGGGATGAAGAAGGTTGTTCGGTCGCCAGAACCATGCACGACAGGGTCATAAAGATCGCCGACTGACAAAATCTCAGCGATCAGACGGGTGCTGTGTATGACATCCTGTACCGAAACTGTCCTTGGAACTATATACTTCAGACTGGATGCATGCTCGGATCGCGCAAACACGAACATAAACGGCTTGTGATGCGGGGTGACAGAGTATACCTAAGTGGCTGCGCACACTTACGAAACAGGCGAAGAACTGAACTTTGCCGCCACGAGGATGATCGCACTCACGGTAGAAAGAAGACAAACCTCACATTTATTGAAGCCCGGGCGTCCGATGAGAAGTCACTCAAATGATTCGGCGAACTAATGCCCTACGCAGTCATCTCTGGATTGGTGTTTTATTGGCTGTAACCCTCTATAACTGTTGCTCGCTTTGTTGCCAGTTTTATCCACGACGGTGTACTCCTGTACGACTTGGAAATCTCGGATAGATTAAGAAATGGTTCCGGCGAGTTGACAGCCTTTTTCATGCCTACTTAGGAATAAAAAGACGGCTAATGAAGTAGCCGAAGAAGAAGAAGAAGAAGAAGAAGAAGAAGAAGAAGAAGA